GGAAACTGATAGTTAAGGAAAAGAGGCTCAGGGTTTCAACCAGTAGCAGAATTAAGAAAACAAGCCCAAACCTTGCCTCCAGGCTAATGATGCCCAGTCTAATGACATTGAAAGTTGAACATGACCTCCAAACACGGTGGTATCATTAGAAAAAACTCACCATACATAGTGTGCTAGGCCATTTAAGAATATATCTTGCATTTATTATGTAGGATTATTTGTATTTATTTTGACTGTATTTTAGTTTACCAGCCTCTCTGTAATTTTAGTAGTTTCTGATTTTGGATCTATTATTGAAATTGGATTTTAAGAATATTTTTATAGGCATTCTAACTCATTCTAAATACATAAGAGAAACCAAACCAGATGTGGAAACACAAGTCAGGTATATGTATATCAGATAAAATTAAATTTTGATCAATTTTTATATACATAGCACAGTTAACAAACATGCATTAAACTCAAAACTATGCATTAGAGGTATCATGATATATGAATTATGGCATAACTAAATTGAGCATGTATATCAATATCATTTTTACTAAAAAGATAAAATTTAATCCTAAGTAGTTCTAATTATACCCAAATCATTTGTTTGGTCATTTGAGCAACTAGAAAACAACCAACTAAAATACTTTAAATTGGTAGAAATTAGCTCAGCATCTTTTAAGAAGGGCTCATGAAATGTAAACTTAATGTAGCCATTATTTCATTATTTATAGAATATCCAAAATGATGGCAAAAATGATTCAGATAAAACAAAAGAAAAAGTAAATAAAACAAATGCCTTAGGAAATAAAGATGTAGTTCATGACCTTAGGAAGCAAACTGTAGGTGGATGGCGACAAGCAAACCAAATAAATGAATGAAAGTGACTAAAACCTTTCTGATGGACAGTTTTTTGTTTCAGAAGCTCATAGGAAATGACACATAAATAGTTTAAAAAACGTAAACATGTGCTCATTCCTAGTTCCTGTGTTCTCATCTCAACTCTCCTCCCCTCTCACCTGACATCTGTTATTTTATCCCTCAGAGTCCTTCACTCTCTGTCACCCTCCCCCACCTCAAGTTCAGCTCTAGAATTTCCTAAAATGGCTATCCCATATTATCATCCCTTCCAGGTTTGTGTTTAAACTCATTAAGAAACTCATCATCAATTTTTTAAAATATATTTTATTGATTTTTTTACAGAGAGGAAGAGAGAGGATAAAGAGTTAGAAACACCAATGAGAGAGAATCATCGATCAGCTGCCTCTTGCACAACCCCTACTGGGGTGTGCCCGCAACCAAGGTACATGCCCTTGACCGTAATCGAACCTGGGACCTTTCAGTCCGCAGACCGATGCTCTATCCACTGAGCCGAACCGGTTTCGACACTCATCATCAATTTTAAGGAACATTTCTTTTAGCCTTAAATAGCTAATATACCTGGTGTATGGTTTATTCCTTCTTGCTGCGGTATATTTTAATCGCTGCCTTTAAAAATCATCTCTTTGTCAAAAAATGCTAAGGAGTGTCATTAGAAAAATAGAATCATAACTCTGAATGGAAAGAAGGTAAGAGTCTAAGTCCCCACTAATGACTACTATATCAGGTAGTCAAATAGTCTCCTGTTTTGTCTTTGAAATAATTCCCAGTGACAAGGCATATATAACTAACTTCTGTCTATCAAATATGAATCCTTAGCTAAGGCTTTTATTTTTTACTTTACTCTGAAGGAAATCAGAAGCAAAAACCCTAAACAGGATGTCCAGTGCATGGGACATTTGTTGTAGAAAAGGAGGCTTGGACTGGCCCCGGAGAGCTCACAGGGTCTTCCGTGTTTTACTTTACCATGAAAACCTGCAGCTTGAAGGAATGTAAGGAAAGAAAATGTTCTGCTTTCCTTTAAAAATGACTTGCGCTTTCCAATCCGAGTAAAATAAACCCTTTATAAAGCGTCAGAAGCAGCCTTCATTTGCAGCACCACTGAAAAGCCATTTCCAGGCTGGGGGAAAAATTTTTTTTCAAGGTATTTAAAAACCATCTAGCCTCCCAAAAGAAAAATATGTGTGTGTGTGTTTCAGGTCACTTCATCATACCTGATGATGAATATGTTTTTAATTAAGGCCCGGGCGCAAAATTGGGTTTTCTGAGTCACTGTGATGCCTGATCACTCCCCCGAGACACCCACCATCAATGGGACTGATGGTAACTCTTGACACCCAAGGCCACTTTGTGCGTTCAGTGGTTAGAAAGGTGATTTCGGAGGCCTGGCAGCTGTTGGTGTTAAAGCTATTGTGTGAGAAACAAAAGCCATTCTGTTCTGTTCTCCAGCCGCCTTTGTATTGTTGATACAGGAGCTGTTTCATAAGTGGGTACCATTCTTTACCGGGAATTTCATTACCTCTCCTGCGCTTCTGGACAGCAGAGGGGAAGGTCTGAACATGGCTCTGATGGAAGGAATTTGGGGCTCTGATCTCTGTTAAGATGCTTGCATTTTAATTCTGTTCATTAGGCCTACGATTAGATGCCATCATACCAACAACTTTGCTTCCTGTTTTCTTTTCCTTAAACTACCAGAACCAAGGCTGGCTAGTGTGTCTTTGCTGCCTGCTCGTTTGTCTTAGAAATTGATCAGAGCACAGTACATGGCAGCACCAACATGTATTGGTGTTAACTAGTTTTCTTGTAGAATTCCTTATTGACCTGTCCTGGGAAATTCTCATAGAGCAGATCAAAGTGATATTTATTTGGAGAACAGACACTTCAGCCAGGTGATCTATTAATTACCATCATTTAGGAGGGCTATCAGTTTACAAGGTTTTCAGTGCATATAAAAGAAGCAAACTGGCCTAAACAATCAAGAAAATGTGGTGGGCTAGTGTCATTCTCCCAGCCATTCTTCCTTTCCTGGACTGTGCCCTTGCTATGTGACTTTGAGGTTCCTCTCACGACAAGTCTTCCCCACCTTGTAGAAGTTGGACTTAGCCACACAACTCATGGTATGACCAGGCTAGGAGGTATTGCTGCTTCTCACTTTTTATACTTCTACCGTTGCCATAAGAAGAACATCCCCCAGCTATCACTCATCAGACAAGATAAGAGAGTTGTGAGGCCAATCTGGAATCTACAGATTGCAGTCAAACCCTGCTGAATCCATCCTACTTGCATGAGTGAGATAGATGACAGTTGCTTTAAGCCAATGCTTAAATAGTTTAGGGTAGTTTGTTATGCAGCACTATTGTGGTAACAGCTGACTGATACATACTGTGCATATAACTGAAGAATCCAAAGGTAGCATGGGCTTCAGGTATGGTTTGAAAGGGAATCCATTTTCTATTTCTGTGTGATTCTCTTGGGGCTTTAAACCAGGATGGTTTACCTCTTGTTATATGGTGTCTATATCATTTTGGGCTTCACATTTGTACTCGGCACCACCTGGAAAGCAAAAAGCTTCTCTCTACAACCTTCATACAAAAGTGCTGGGCTTCACTACAATCAGGTCAAAGTAGATTATGTATCTATCCTGGGTCCATTGTTGAGCAAAAAGTTGTGGGATTATTTGACTTGGTTTATGTCCATCAGAGTCCTCTTTTAAAGGTTGAAGTGGGCTTAATTTCTTCCAAAATCCATGGTGTGCTTCATTAAAAATGGGAGTGGGGGTGAAGCAGGTGCTGAGAGATACCAACTGTGTTCATTATAGAGGCTAAAATCTCCAAACTTTGTTTTAAATTTCTATTAATTAATTGGCTCAAGACATTTTTCCTACCTCCTGCTAGGCCAGCTAGAGCTGGAGAGAAGGCATTTATCTTTTCAAGTTCACCTGCTATCTGACAAATGGCAAATCATATGGCCCTACCTATGCCACCTTATGCACTAGAAGCTGAGAGCCCAGCTTTACAAAGGACTTTACCATTAGCCCACTAGTCTCCCTACTCCTGAGATTGCAGGATTTTTAAGAAAATTAAAAATAGGTTTAGTTTACCTGAATGTGAAGATCCCTGACCCAGAGGATCAGTTAATGCCAATATAATGAGAATTTAACCAAGTGAGGTACATTGATCAGGATGTCATTCCACTGACTTCTGGCCTCCATTGTTTCTGATGAGACGTCAGCAATAATTCTTGTTATTGTCCAGATACATAGTAAGTATCAAATAAAAATGTCTTGAATTAATGAATTAAAAATAGAAACAAAGTATCTGACACAGTTTAGTGTTCTCTCATGAATATTTTATGTTCTTTCAGGAATATCCCACCAGGTCTTTGAAAACTTCCCTTTGAACATTTACTGCTACCCTTTCCCCCAAACCCCCCATTCCACCCCCCAAGATTCTGCAGGAATGTGAATCAAACAAATTATCAATCCAGGTAATTTTTGCAAACATGGGCACTAAAGTTATCATTAGATATTCTCCTGTGCTTCCAAGAATCCTCCCAGAACAGCTTTATTATCCAACATGTTTTTGTCATTTAATAGTATTTACATGCCGTTCTACAAATATTACTGAACACCTGTTCTGCATAAGGCAATGTGTGAAGTAGAGTGAAGGATATAGAATTGAATAAAAGATAACACTTGCCTTCAGGTACTATTATAATCTGATAGTTGTTCAGGTTTCAGAGAAACCTGGACAGAGGGAATGATGTGTGATCTTTCATGAAACTAGATTCTCAGGAAGCAACTTGTTTGTCTTCTTGCGGGATTATTAACTGTATTGTCTCCAATCATAAAGGGCCTTATTTCTACATAAAACATCTGTCAACATTAGGACAAAAGTGACCCAAACCAAGAATTTTGATGTGAACCAGCTTAGGTATATTTCCATATACTTACATTAACATCTTAAAAGTACCTCCCGGTAAATTTCACCATGGCTGTGCATGGGCACTAGTTGGATTTGCTGATAATGTCCTGGTTAATAACTCCACATAATTTCCAATTTGAGAATGCAGATTCACCTACATTTTCCTTCTGTCTCTCTCTCTTTTTTTGTTGTTTGTTTGTTTGTTTTCAGATGAGTTATGCCTTGTACCATACAAATAGAAAACTAACGCTGGAACCTAAAATAACGGTTAATGCCAGGATTGTGGTGGTTGGCGCATCCAATGTTGGAATCTCCTTCCTAGAGACACTGGTTTTTTGGTGAGTTGTTTTACTTTATTTATTTATTTATTTATTTTATTATTAATTTTTTTAAGGGGGCTTTCTCTTGCTCACTTGAGAGGTCCCTTGAAAGAACAGATCTGAGTTTGTTTGTCACCCTGCATACTTTGGAATATTCTAGATCAGAGGTTGGCAACAATAGCCCTCAGTTCAAATCTGGCTGTCTGCCTGCGTTGGGACACAGACTTATGTATGTATGTATGTATGTATGTATGTGGTGTCTGCGACTATTTTTTTGACACAGCAGTAGATTTGAGTAGTTGCAACATGTATGTGGTGTCTGTGACTATTTTTTTGACCAGCAGTAGATTTGAGTAGTTGCAACAGAGACTATATGACTTTTAGTGTCTAAAGTATGTACACTCTGACCCTCCCCAGAACAAATTTGCCAGTCCCTGTCCCACACTAGTGTTTCCTTTACTGGCCAGATCATAGGCATCACGTGGAGCATCTGCTACACACGTAGCTTTCCAGACCCCACATCAGACGTTCTGAGTCAGACACTCCCAAGGAGTGTTCTGGAAACCTGTGTGTAACAGGTGCGCCTTGCAATCAGGCTGGTTTGGACCCAGTTTTGGCTTTATGCATCACAAATAGGCTTGCAGAGATAGCAGATAGATAGGCCAGGACCCTTCTTCCAACCCCTGTATTTCAGATGCCAGAGAACAGAATGAAACCCTGCAGGGACCACTGACGCCTGCACTTCTCTTCCATGCTGTTTTCTGTTATCCTCAATGCAGTCAGCAAGCTTCCTTTCAGAGCCCTCTTTCTTTCTTTCTTTCTTTCTTTCTTTCTTTCTTTCTTTCTTTCTTTCTTTCTTTCTTTCTTTTTTTAATTTGTCTTTCTTCTTGAAAGTATTACAGATGTCCCCTTTCTCCCCCCAGTGAACCCCTCTTTCCAGCTCCAGCCCTCTCCCCAGGCCTTCACCACACTGCTGTCTGTGTCTATGGGCTATGTGTATGTGCATATAAATTATTTGGTTAATCTCTTTCTGCCACTCGCCTTCTCTCTGAGAGCCCATTTCCTTGATGTGTGGTTCCTGAGGATTTTCCGCTTTCCCCAACTAGCCCTCCATCCGCTCATTGAGTCTCAGCTCCTCCTCCTCAGGAAGAGCCCTGGGTTCTTCTCCAAGGGTTTGGGTTCATAGCCTCACATCACCATCCACTGACATGGAACCCTAGAGGCACTGCTTAATGTCTTCAGACTCAGGTTTCTCATTTAATTTTTAAAATTTTCTGCCTTTCAGCATAATGATTATTGCTTGTCTCATTTTTGATTCTTATAAGTATATTTCCAGTAGGACATGATCTCACTCAACTAGGGGAAATGGTGAACAACATAGACTGATGAACAAGAACAGACCCAGAGATAAGGAGCCATGGGTCAGACTGTTGGACCTCAAAGGGAGGGTGGGGATAAAAGGGAGAGATCAACCAAAGGACTTATGTGCATACATATGAGCCTAACCAGTGGTCAAGGACAATAGGGGGATGGAAGCATGAGTGGGGGGTGGAGGATTGGAATGGGAGGTTGAGGACAAATATGTAATACCTTAATTAATAAAGAAATTTTAAAAAGTTTCATAGGTGTTTTAAAAGGTCCTAACTTCATGCATCTACAGATTGCTGAATTAAAAGAATCCAGATTGCCACACACACCGCCCCCCCCCCCTACCCTCCCAATTTTTTGCTCAGGATCACATGAGAAATTTTAGCCACTTTTAAAACAATAAGTGCTAAGAGGCAAGCGGAAGATGAGAAAGAGCAGCCCCACTCTGACTCCCCCAGAAGCCAGCAAAACTGCCAGGGTTAGATAAGGGAAGAGATGGAGGAAATTCCCCTAAAAAATGCCACAATAACCAGATAATTTTTTTTTTTTCACTTTCCAGCCATTTTTTTCAGTTATCCAGAAATACCCTTAGTTAACCAAAAAATAAGTCAAGTATCATTATGGAAATTAGGAACAGAGATCACGGGACTTGAACATTGTGGTCAGTCTACAGCAATCTTTTATTGCAGAAGAAAATAATGAGAAGCCCTAAGATACCCATTTTTGTCTGTGTGCCGACCACAGTTTGAGGGTTACATTTATTCTGATGAGTTTCTTTACTTAAGACTCCGAATAGCAAGTTGTTTGCAACGATTTTTGAATGATGAATTATCAGGGTGGAGTTGTGAAATTATCGTAGTCAAGACGTTATCATGAGCAGATCTTAAATCTTTTTTATCTTTATTTTGAGTGTGTGCTTATTAAGGCTGGGAAGAGTGAAGTAAGGAAGGACTTAAGGTAGAAGAAGCAACAGGAGAGAGCCCAGGTGGGGCTGCTTTGGCTCACTACCATTTCAGAGAAAAGGGGGCCTTGGAGACAGGTTCAGGGAGTTAACCCCGGGACCAGTTGCTGCTGCCCACTGTTCCCCAGTTGTGAATCTCATGTGGACCCTTAGAATTTAGGGGTTAAAAGCATGCTTGAGAGGGAAGAAAGATATGGGCATGCTCCTGGGTGAGAGAGTACCAACAGGTCTTAAATCTCAATTTAGCTATATATTTAGTCATTATGTTTCATTTAAATGAGTTCATTAAGACATATACGTATGATTTTCCTTCTGTGGAATCAACTTAGATTCAATAAAGACACATATAAATTTTAATATCAGTAGTGGGTTGATTAAATTCCTCAATCAGGCAGACTTTTTAAAAGCATTTTAAAGTTCTCATAATTCTCTATCATCATTACACAGATTACATACACTAAAAATAGACTGGTATCAGTTTACGGATCTCTAAGCCTTAGGAGAGGAAGGAGTTTTCTCATTATTTCCCCTAATTATTTTAAATTAGCAATTACCATAGTAACCTGGTGCATATTTTACTTTACCAGTATAACTGCCATTTGAACTAGATCTTAAAAATTATTTAAGCTGGAATGAAATTGAAGAAACACAATATTCACCAAATACTGACCCCCAGTGAAGATTAAGTTCACATTTTGGAGGCAAGACGACAAAGGAGACACACTCTTTGTTCTTTGTTATTTACATGCAAAAAAAAAAAAATGACAAAGTACGTTTGGTCTCCTCTTCAAAGGACATCTGAGGAAGTCCTTGCATAAATTCTCTGCCCTGGCCCTAGCCTTCTTTCCACAGGTGCAAGGTGTTGCTGGGGAGCTGACGTCATTTACCCAAAATCACCAACTAATAGCGAGGATGTGGGGAGGGAGCGTTGAGGGTGATGTTTTGATTTTTTTTTTTGTGTGTGTGTGTGTGTGTGCAGAGTTTTATCTGGTCCTCAGCTGCTTCCACCCACAGTTACATATGCACAGACACACCTCCTTTTCTTTGGTTGTCAGGCCTGAAAGTCACCCGGCATCTCTTCCTTGCCAGTAGGAGTGTCGAACTCAATCAGAGAAGGGGCCAAAATCTAAAATCCAGCCTAAATCTCGGGCCGAATGGTTTACTGAACAGTCATAAACTGTCATTGTGATGGAAACGCAACGGAGTGCAGTGATGACAGCGCGGTGCGGGTCACATTGCAAGGCCTGGCGGGACGGATTTGGCCCGAGGGCCTTGTGTTTGACACATGTGCCTTAGAGGAAGGCCTCTCGGGTCCTCCGGTATCAGTGACATGTGTGACAGGCATTTTCCCGCAGACACACACTGGCATGCGGTGTGGTTCCCCTGTCTCCCTGGTCCTGGGGAATCCTACAGTGCTGGGCTGAGTGGCAGCCCTGCCCTGAGAGCCGTCTGCTGCCTCGTCTACCTGCCCGAGGCCATTGACTGGCTGATGGAGGACAGGGCTGCAGGGTCCTTCAGGTTGGAGTGAGTCTCCCTCCCCCACATGCAGGTCTTGTGCATTTGTCTTCTGAGGGTGCTTATGCCCAAGCAACTCCACTGGGAGCCTTTCCAGGCCCTCAACCCACACACTGCAGGCAGTGAGGGCTCTAGCTGTAGACCCATCCTGGCCTTCTTTCCCCATCTTGTGCCCTGCCAGGGTGTGGGCCCCCATGATGGGAACCAGAAGCTGAGCAGGGGAAGGACACCAGCTGTGGGCCAGGAGAGGAACTTTTGAGGGGTGGGGTGTGTAGTGGAAAAATCCCACTTCATACACTGGTGTAGAAGGCGGTGAATTGGAGGGATAAGGCAGATCTTAATACATTTTTCTATCAATTGTCTGTATTCTTTATTGTGCCCAGGACATTCAAATGATGGACTTGAACTCTTCAAATTAGGGTTCTTGTAGCTATAGGTTGTATTCCTTTGGCTGCCTGGGTCTTTAGGACTGAAAGTTCTTAGCTTGGGAAACATAAACATTTCTTATATATAATCCTTTGCAGCACTTCCATTAATAAGACTCCTTTATTTTTTATTTTTTAATCTTTATTGTTGAAAGTAGTATGTATGTCCCCATTCCTCCCTCCCCCATTGACCTCTTCTAGCTCACCCCCACCACCTGCCCCAGGCCTTCACCTCCCTATTGTTGTGTCTGTGAGTTATGCATATATGTATACAAGTTCCTTGGTTGATCTCCTTCTACCCACCCTCCCCCAACCACTGGAAAAAGCAGAAAGGACTTGGCCTTGGTCATTAGACCACCCCTCTGGTGCCAACCAGTGCTATGCTCCTGACAGTGGTCCTATTCTCACCGTGCAGGGGGGAGGGTCACAGCAGGGGACCCCAAGCTCAGAGGTGCTGTCACCCCAGGAACTCCACCGTGCCACAGGTTTAAAGGGAATTCCCTATTCTTGGACAAACAGCCAGGTGCAGAGGTGAGCTTCTATCCTCTGAACACTCTTTCCAGAAAGCAAGAGGCTTCTTTCCACACAGTGAGAGTCATAGTTTTACTAGTCACTTTGTGCACCAGCTCTAGTCCTGCTGAACTCCCCAAAAGTAATACTTTGAATATTTCAGGCTGCCCACAAAAGTACTCCAAAATCATTTTTAAAAAGAAATATGGGAAAGCTATACCAAAAAAAGGGCAGGAGCC